TAAAAATTATTTTAATTTGAAGGTTCACTCTAGAATTCTTTCTCTTGACAACAAAGAATTTTTTTTTAAGTACAATGATGGGCCACACCCACTCAACCTAGATCATTCCCTAGGAACTGATCTGGCTCCGCCTCAACACTAATACTCTTCTTCATGGCTTCTTTAAACACCATGAAGAAAGTAATTTTTAAGTTTGTTTCTACAACTCATCTCCTTTTTCCTCTTTAAAATATCCACATATGTCCTTATTAATAGCATAACAGTCCCCAAACCAAAACGGTGGAAGATCAGTGGACCTAAACCATTTCATTTTGAAGCTAGGTACACGAATAGGGAAAAATGCAGGGCTATGAGAGAACATTCACCAACAGTGAAAAGAACTCTATTTTATGAAGAAATAATAGAGACAATAAGCACAGGAAATTTCTACCCACCAAAAAAAAATCCTCAGAAAAAGAAGTTTTCTATAAAAATATATTTATCACCTATAACTGCATATTTAATAAGAATTCCCTGTTCAAAAGCAAATGTTACTGAAAACTTCTAATCTGGTAAACTATTCAGTTGCTCAAGAGAAATTCCAACAGTCTTACATACTAATAAACTATTAAATAGAAAATTCCACAAAATAAATGTTTAACCATTAGATACTCTAATCAAAGGAATCACTCTCATCAGTGGGAGAATAAGATGTATGGTGTTAATAAATAATAAGGCCATTTAAACAATACAAACCCATTAATGTGTTCCTTTCCACCACAGAAATAGACTTCTCTGCATCTCCATCTGCAACTTGCTGAGTCTGTAAATAGCCAGTCAGGGAAGACGGAAGAGCATCCTGCCAGATTAAGAAGTTCAGCAGGTAGGAGGCTGTTACACAGTCGTGGGGTTTGGTGCTTGTGCTGAGCTCAAGCGCTGCCTGGAACAAGCCTTGCAGTTTCTCTGAATCCTAGAATAAAGCAGAGTCTCAGTACTGTCACTGGTACATTGCTTCTACTCGAAGGAATAATATCTATTTAAAAACAGAATCTGCCATATAACTTAACATTAACTTACTTAGAGCTTTCACTACAGTAACTAATGACAATAACTAATTCATTCTAATCATAAGAATTTCAGCTATGCAAAGGCATTTGACTGTGTAGATCATAACAAACGATGGCTGACTCTGAGAAGAATGGGAATCCCAGAACACTTGATCATTCTAATGCGAAACTTATATTTGGACCAGGAGGCAGTCGTCAGAACAGAGCAAGGGAACACTGCATGGTTCAAAATTGGAAAGGGTGTATGCCAGGGGTGCATCCTATCTCCATACCTTTTCAACCTATATGCAGAACAGATTATCCGGGAGGCTGGGCTCTATGAGGAGAAATGCGGGGTCAAGATTGGTGGACGATTTATCAACAACCTGCGTTATGCGGATGACACAAACCTCCTTGCTGAAACTGAGGAGGACCTGAAGCGCCTGCTGCAGAGTGTCAAGGACTGCAGCCTACAATATGGATTGAGGCTCAGTGTCAAAAAGACAAAGATTCTCACCACTGGACCAACTGGTAGCATCAGGATGGATGGTGAAGAGATTGATAGTGTTCACAGCTTCAGTTTGCTTGGCTCCACAGTCAACACTCTTGGCACCAGCAGCCAGGAAATCAAAAAATGTATTGCGATGGGGAAGTCTGCTGTTAGGGACCTCTCTAAAGTACTCAAGAGCAATGGTGTCTCTCTGGAGACTAAGGTGCACCTGACAGACCATGGTATTTCCAGTCACTTGTTATGCATCAGAGAGCTGGACCATGACTAGGGAGGATAGAAGGAGAACTGATGCCTTTGAGCTGTGGTGCTGGAGAAGAGTACTGAGAATACCATGGACTGCTAGGAAAACAAATAGATTTGTCCTGGAGAGGGTTAAACCGGGTGGCTCCTTGGAGGCAAAGAGTCTGAGGCTCCGTCTAACATACTTTGGACATGTTGTGAGGAGAGACCGGTCCTTAGAGAGGGACATCATGCTTGGGAGGGTGGAGGGACAGCGCAGGAGAGGAAGGCCCTCTATGAGGTGGATTGATTCAGTGACTGGGATAATTGGGATGGGAGTGTCAGAGACAGTGCGATTGGCACAGAACAGAGCGGAGTTTAGGGCTGTTGTACATAAGGTCGCTGTGAGTCGCAAGCGACTCAACGGCACATAACAACAACAACATATGAAGCTCCACATATATACAATGTTGAAAACAAAATAAGATCAGTGTCAGGATTTGTGCATCACAGCTCTCATACCTGTATCTCAGAGCCTGTCTTAAAGGAAACAGAGTAAAGGACAGTTCACTGTGATTGATATTCATGGGAAGACTCGACACTGAGCACAGGAGCTGTAGATTCTAGTCTCAAGTCCTTGGCTGACAAGTTGCAGGGAACTCTGAACTCCATTTGCTCAGTGATATCCTGACCCTACTAAGATTAATCCACAACAGAAGAAAATCATCAAATCAAAAGTTCATTTTAAGTTCAAATTTAAGTTCATGATAGGTATATCAATAATTAATGATGGGTTATATATTATTCAAAATATAAAATATACTGACTCCAATGTCAATTTACTTCTTTTTTAATAAATATTTTGACATCTTGAATGATCTACTCCCCTGTCTTACTAAAATAAAAGCTAAATTAGATGTTTTCACCAAAATCCTATAGGAAAGCCCTAAGTAAAAAAAAAAAACCCAAAACCGCCTGCCATCCAGTCCACTCTGACTCCTGCTGATCCCATGTGTGTCAGAGTGGAACTTGCTCCATGAGGTGTTCAATGGCTGAGAAGCTTTGAAAGTACATGCCCAGGCCTTTCCTCCATGGTGCCTGGGAGCCAATTCCAACCATGATCTTTCAGTTCACAGCCAAGTTCTTAATAATTTGTACCAAAGACCTAATAAAAAGTACTGATGGTGTGGTTGGTAGTGTGCTATACTACTAATCAAAAGGGTATGCTCTCTGATGGTTCAAATTTACCGGGAGCTTTGAAGAAGGACAGGCAGACTCCTCCCACTAAGATTCACAGCTTCAGAAACTCAACAGAGTTGCTGAGTCACAAGCGACTCAAAGGCAATGAGTTTTGAGTTGAAAACTTCACAGTAACCATGTGTGGTAACAAATTTCCTGAATCATGTAGGCTGTTGTTCTTGTCGTATGCTGTCCAGTCTGAACCGAGACATAGCTGCCCCTCCAGCTGGTTTTCAGAGGCTGTAAATCAAATGGGAGGAGATTGCCAAGACTTCTCCCTTGGATTACTCGCCTTTGGGAATGCAGCACAACTCCTTATCATTAGACCACCAGAGATCCCTTGAAATTGCTGAAGGACAACTAAATGTACTTCTTTAAACATGCTTATTATTATCCATGTTTGTTGTTGTGTACCGTTGAGTTGGAACCGACCCATAGCTGACCCTCTGTCAAGTTTTCAGAGGCAGTTAAGCAAATGGGAAGAGACTGCCCATCCTTCTCCTGTGGAGCTCTGGTGGATGTAAAAGGCTGTGGCTTCTTACTATTAGGTTATCAGAGCTCATTACTATGCATAGAAAAATGGAAAATTTTAAATGTTATTGCAATCTAAAAACATCATACATATCCCCAGCTTGTTTAACCTACAATCTGCTAAAAATCACATTATCCAAAGAAAGACTTTTAAATAGCATCCGATTCACTCTTAAGTGATTTTTCCCCTATTCAAATAAATACGAAAAGTTGCATTTTAATGTACTTTTCAATTCAAGGAAAAAATATAAACTGAGACATGGTTACAGGTTCAGGATTAAACATATAACAATATGCCTTGTTTTAATACATTTGTGGCTTTATAGTAAAAAAAACCTTAGGAACATATGAAATTCAAGCTAAATTATGCAATTGTCACAAGAAAAAAAAAGCACTAAATGTATCTCTAAAACAAGTATGTTCATTTAAGAACCTCAAAACAGCATTAGACCTTGGCCTTATTTTTAAAAAGTTTAGTAAACATAAGCTAGCTACATAACCTTCTTGTAAGATTTAATACAGAATTGATAGACAATTGATAGAGAAAATACTTTTCCTCTAAAGCATGGGAGAGATAGGAGGAAAAAAGACAATTTCTTTAGCAGCATATATGGCTAAATCCATCAACCACTTTAAACTATAATATCCATTACTGACCCTATTAAAAATCATTGCACAAATATCGAAAGTGACCAACTTCATAAGCCAAAGAAAATTTTAGAATTACAGTAAGTAAAATACTTTTGACACTATTAAAAAGTTCTGAAACTTCAAAATGTTTTAACCATCAACTAGAGAAACCATCTCTTCCTGTGAAGAAAGGTAGGCCTAAAAGAAAGTAAAAGACATTTAAATTAAACGGATTTTCAATCCTTTTTGAACAACAGAAATGAAAAATAATGGTTGATTAACTAAGCTTTGTGCTCTAACCAAAAGAATTCATTATACTGATTTAATTGGCAAAAGCCCATCTGCTGGGGCAGGCTGACACTTTGAATACTTTTGCAGTACGTTTTTTTTTTAAATAAATGCAAAGACGCTAAAAATGATCTAGTCATGCAATGTTCACCTTACGCGTTCTCCATCTCTTTGCTAATCTAGTAGCTAAGAATCTTGATCCAGGCTTCTTGTGCAGCCTTAGCCAGAACACTGAGACACGATGGTGAAGTTCGGAGTAAATGGATTTGGCTGCATTGGATGCCTGGTCACCAGGGCTGATTTTCATTCTGGCAGAGTGGACAATGTTGCCTTCAATGATCCCTTCATTTACCTCAACTGCAGGTCTATATGTTCCAGTGTGATTCACACATGACAAGTTAAATGGCACTGTCAAGGCTGAGAATGGGAAGCTGGTTATCAATGGGAAAGACATCACTGTCTTTTAGTGACATCCCACCAACATCAAGTGGGGTGATGCTGGTGCTGATTATGTTGTGGAGTTCACTGGTGTCTTCACAATCTTGGAGAAGGCTAAGGCTATCTTGAAGGGTGGTGCCAAATGGGTAGTCATCGCTGCTCCTTCTGCCGATGCCCCCATGTGTGTGATAGGCAAGAACCATGAGACAAAAGACAACTCTCTCAAGATTGTCAGCAATGCCTCCTGCACCAACTGCTTGGCCCCCTGGCCAAGGTCATCCATGACAACTTAGGCATCATAGAGGGATTCATGACCACAGTCCATGCCATCACTGCTACCCAGAAGACTGTGGATGGCCCCTCTGGAAAGCTGTGGTGTGATGGCTGTGGAATCGCCCTGAACATCATCCCTGCAGCTGCTGTTGCTGCCAAGGCCATGGGTAAGGTCATTCCTGGACAGAATGAGAAATTTGCTGGCATGGCTTTCCATATCCCCACCCACAATGTGTCAGTTGTGGACCTGACCTTATGTCTGCAGAAGGCTGCCAAATATGATGACATCAAGAAAGTAGTAAAGCAGGCATCAGAATGGCCCATAAAAAGGGATACACTGGAGAACAGGTTTTCTCCTGTGACTTTAACAGTAACACCCACTTCTTCCACCTTTGATGCTCGCGCTGGCATTGCCCTGAATTATGACTTTGTCAGACTCATTTCCTGAAATGCTAATGAATTTGGCTACAGCAACAGGTGGTTGACCTGATGGATCACATGGCCCCCAAAGAATAAGAGTCCCTTGGACCAAGAGCAAGAGCACTGAAAAAGAGAGACAGAACCTCAGCTGCTGGGGAGTCCTTGCCCCAACTGATCACCCACACATTTGAGAATCTCACATCTTTTACACAGTTTCCATCCAATACCTCGAGACAGGGAAGGGGCTTAGAGAGCTCAACTTGTCATATACCATCAATAAAATACACTGGACTCAGTGCCCCCCCAAAAAAAATCTTGTTCCCGTAAATCTTCCTGCGTATAAGAGGCAAGTGTCAGGCACAGTGTTAAGTGTGCGGTAGCACAGTGGGAGTAGCCTGGTAATGCACATAGGTGTTTATATGTACATGCACAGCAAAGTAGAAAAGCAGACGCCACATAAGGACCAAATCTCTCATATGGGTGCTATCCCTTCCCCATTGCAGATGCTCTCAAAATACCTTCCAGGTATGAGACTTAGTTATGTATGATACCAGACTACTGGGGGCAAAGGGTGGGGGCAGAGTGGGGCCTGGGTAGAACACAGTGACAGGAGGACATCGGAGAGCAACAACAGACATTTCCTGCTCTCCAGCAAGTGCTTCTGCAGAATTCCACTGCTTCTCAGACTGAAGTGGCCCTAAGTCAATGTAATAGGTAAACTTGAACTATGGCTCAGTTGCAGCCTCTACAGTTTGTAACAAACTAGAAATTATAAAACTCTAAGCCAGTGCTCTGCTGGTGGCCCAAAAGTGGAACCGAGTCCTTAGTCTGGGGATGCCCTGCAGACTCATCCCCATGCTGTGCTTTCACTGCCCACACCAATGGCAAAACAGAACAATATAACGTCAGAAGAGGACTGCGGGGGCAGGGGACAGAGTGAGAGCCCAAGGGGAGAACCATCATCACCAACGTCAAGCACTCTGAGTTTCAGTCTCAGTTCAGTTATTGCTTGCTGGAAGACCCAAAACAGGTTTTATACTTCACTTACATTCAGCTTCCTTGCCTATTAAGGAGGGAGATTATCTCAAAAACCTCAAATTACTGTAAGTGTTGTCTTTTGACCAAACACTAACATAACCAAAGAAACTGAGGAGACTGTAGTTAGCGGAAAAGCGACCATTAATTCTGTAAACACTAAAACCCACTGATTCCTACGCCTCTGTTAAGGCAGAGGATTACAAAATGCAAAGGTCAAATATTTCATGTTATTTGCACTTACCCTACTTTCTCCTCTCCTTTCTTCCTCCTATCAGTCTACAACAACAATGCTATTAACAGTAACAGAGTTAATGTATGTGACAGGGAAGCTGCAATGAGCCTGGATAATTCACAGACTGCTTTATCTGCTGTCACACATACCATATTTGAAAAAAAAAAAAAAAAAAGCATAAATACCTGAAATGGCACAACTGTTTTTGTTAACTTCATTAGAAGATCAAAGGCTAACACTTTGACCTCTTCAAAAGTGCTGGTAAAGCACTCCAGCAGTGTTTGAAAACGACCAGCATCAACATCATGGCTAAGCTGATATACTGTCTGGATTCCACCTAGGGAAAGGGAAAAGAACAAAACCTATCAATTCATTATTGGGGGAAATAAATAAACCTTTGAAAATAAATCAGAGTTTCAAAGTTACTTGGTCCAAAATCATATTAACTTCTTAATCATAACTAAACACCCTGAGGAAATGAGTTGGTCTTAGGACCATAGAATTAGGCAACATCAAAGTCAATTAGCAGAGATGCAAATCAAAACAACTATGAGATAACATATAAATCTCCAAGGAAAGAAGAGGTGACAAAGAATTACATACAAATCCTTACTCAATTAAAACAGTAATATAGAGACATTCTTGAACATGTAAGAAAACAAAAACTTTACCTCAAAATCTCTTCACAAAGATTATTTCCAGCCAATCAAGAGATAAATGTAGGCAATATCCTAAAAGAGCACTAGCATTCTGCTTTGCACCCCATTTTCATTCTAAATGTTTTAAATTTTCATTCTATAGCAAACAACTCTTTTGGAACTGGCCCATAGCTGATGCTCAGTAGTAGTCTTTTTAATTTCATTTCTGACACTAATAATATCATCTTTATTTTTTTTTTTTTAGTCAAGTTACAGATTTGTCATTTTGTTGATCTTCTCAAAACACAACTTTTGGTTTCATTTTCTCTACTGCTTTTCTATTCTCTATTTAATTGATCTCTGTCCTAAATTTTTATTACTTGTTCCTGTCTGCTACCTTTGGGCATTGTTGGTCTTTCTTTCCTAATTCCTTATGATACAATGTTAGGTTAGTAATAGTACATAATGAATGCCATTTGAAATAGCATGTATTTACTTATAATTTATTGTACACATCATTTCACTAAAACATAAGCTTTAATATATAAAACGTTTTGTACACTTCATCTCCTTGGTTCTTACAACATTGCCTGACATAACAGTATTGTATAATACAAATATTGGAATAACGATGGAATCCTATTTTCATCTTTAAGTATTATGACATCTAATTGAGTAAAAAAATATAGAGAGGTTAGTCTTTTTAAACACGATTTTGCATTAGTTCATCCATAATTATTTATATACACTATTTCATTTTTGTATATTAAGTATTTTTTCTTTCTTCATTTTATATTGGTTTGCTCACAAAGTTCATATATGTTGTGTTTCACACTAATCCTTAAGTTTTATATGATCATTGATAAACACAGTAATTTATATCATTCCTAGTAATGTCTTCTATCACCCATTTCATGAAATCTCCACTGCACCTAGCTTGTTCCTTCATCCACAGTTCATCCACTCATCTCTGCTGTCCTAGAGACTTCTTCCCACCCCTGCCCTTTCTCTCTCCATCCTTCTCCCTTCTCTGTCGCCTTCTGAAGAGTTATACATATCCTGTTCCTATTGGCTAACTGCAATATCTGTATTATCCTTACATGAATTCTTCCCAGGCTGAACCTCCCTTGTACTTGTCCTTTACAGTGTTCATTGTCTGTACACTCTATTTCTGGTCTCTCCATCTCCCAACTCAAACCCTCAGTTAACCTTTTGCTATGATAGTGGTCTTAATACAGTATTTGTCCTTTTGCAATTGAGCTATTTCACTCAGAATAACGTCCTCTAGACTCATTCATGTTGCACAGTATTTTACGAATTTGTTGATTCTTTAGTGCTGCCTAATATTCTGGTGTGTGAATGTATAACAGTTTCTCTAACCATGTTGGCTGATGGGCATTTGAACTGTTCGCATTTTATTGCTATTGTAAATAATGCTGTGATAAACACAGGTGTACATATCTTCATTTATGTCTCAACTCTGATTCCCTTGGGATAAATTCTTAGTAATGGAATAGCTGAGTCAATGGGATTTCTGTTTCCATTTTTGAAGAAGCACAAAAGTGGTTGTACCATTTTACAATCCCACAGTAGTGCATGAAAATTCCAGTGTCTACATCCTTACAAATAGTAACTGTTTGATGTTCTATAAAACTTCGCTATTGCTGCTGAGGTGAGATGGTACTGCATTGTTGTTTTGATTTGTTTATTTCACTCATTGCTAGTGATTTCCTTATGTGACTCTTGGCCATCTGCATATCGTCTCTGATGAAGAGTCTTTCTAAGGCTTTGGTCCATTTTGAAATTGGTTTAGAAGTTTTTTGCTCATGAAGAAATTGTATTACTTTGTAAACTTTAGTTATAAATCCCTTGTTAGATAATGTCTCTGCCAAATGCTTTTTCCTAAGTCTGTGGGCTTTCTTTCCACCATATTGGAAAAAAAATCTTTTGATGTACACAGGAATTTGATTTGAAGAAGATCCCATTCATCAATTTTATCTTGTCCTGGTTGAGCCTTTTTGCTTTTGTTTGCTAGTTTATTCATACCATAGACTAGGGACTAGTTTTCTCTGATGATCTTTATGACTTTTGGTTTTACCTCTAAATCCCTGACCTATTTTGAGTTGGTCTTTAGGTATGGAGCCAAATGTGGATCCTGTTTCTCTTTACTACATGTAGATATCCCGTTTTTCCAACACCATTGTTAAAGATATTGTCATTTTCCCATTTAATGGATTTTGTCACCTTGTCAAATATCAACTGACCACAAGTAAACTGACTGATTTCAGGGTTATCAACCTACAGGTTATTCTTAAGCCACGGGGTAGTATGTATCAAATTTTGCCCCCTTAAACAAATTTTTTTAAATGTTCCAAAAAATACTATGTTACAGTCCTAATCCTTATTTCTACCACTATGTCCTTGTTTAGGAACTGAACTTTTTCTTTTCTCACTGTTATTGCTGTTGTTATGTGCTGTTGAGTTGCCTGCGACACATAGCGACCCTACATACAACAGCCCTAAACCCTGCTATATTCTGGGCCAGTCTTACTGTCTCTGACCCATTACCCCAGTCACTGAATCAATCCCTCTCATCGAGGGTCCTTCTCTCTTGTGCTGTCCCTCTACCCTTCTAAGCATGTCATCCCTCGGTCCTTCCTTGCAATATGTTCAAAGTAGGTGAGATGAAGTCTCAGAATCCTTGCCCTCAAGGAGCAGCCCGGTTTCACCACCTCTAGGTCAAACTTGTGCGTTCTCCTGGCAACCCATGGTATATTCAATATTCTTCTCAAGCACGACAACTCAAAGGCATCAACTCTCCTTCTATCAACCCTAGTCATCTGAGTCATTGTCCAGCTGTCTGATACACAGCAAGTGATTGCAAAAACTATGGTCTGGATCAGGCGCACCTTGGGCTGCAGAATGATACCATTGCTCTTTAGTACTTTGGAGAAGTCTCTAACAGCAGACTTTGCCAGTGCAATTTGTCTTTTCATGTCCTGGCTCCTGGTACCAAGAATGTTGACTGTGAAGCCAGGCAAACTATAGATGTTAACAACCTCAACCTCTTCACCATCTATCATGATACTGCCAATTGGTCCAGCAGTGAGAATCTTTAGTTAAGTAAAATGAGGTCAGATCAGATCAGAGTAGGGTGCATTTTAATCACGTGTCTTTGAAGGGATGCCTTAAAAAGGGGAAACATAAAGAGGTAAGGCAGGTGCCGTGTGACCACAAGTGCAGATGCATGTGTGTTACAGTGTTTGTTAGATGTCATTGAGCTAAGCACCACCAATAGTAGCCCCATGAACAACGGCGTGAAACCCTGCCCTCCTTTGTACCTGCTAACAGTCTCCAACATACTCAAGCTCACTGCCGCCGCCAAGCAGTCAGTTTATCTACTTGATGGTCTTCCTCTCATTCTCTGACACTCTACTTTACAAGCATGTTATCTTTTTTCCAAGGACTGGCACCACATGGCAGTATTCCCTTAATATGAGAGACAAAGTTTCACTAGTCCTGTCACTAAGGAGCACTTTGGTTGTACTTATTCCAAGGGAGGTTTATTTTGGTGTTCTTTGGAGAGTCCATGGCATAGTCAATAATCTTCATCAACACCACAATTCAAAGGTGTCAGTACTTCTTCAGTATTATTCATTGTCCAACTTTCACATGTTGTTGTTGTTGTTGTTGTTGTTATGTGCTGTCGAGTCGTTTGCGACTCATAGCGACCCTATGTACAGCAGCCCTAAGCCCTGCTCTATCCTGTGCCAATCGCATTGCCTCTGACACACCCATTCCGATTACTCCAGTCACTGAATCAATCCATCTCATAGAGGGTCTTCCCCTCCTGCGCTGTCCCTCTACCCTACCAAGCATGATGTCCCTCTCCAAAGACCTGTCTCTCCTTACAACATGTCCAAA